CTAGTTTCTGATCTTACTCCCTCACCTTCCATGATATTATTCTCCCTCCCCATTGGCAAGCTCCTACTGTCTTCCCATTCTGTGCCTTTTCCAGTCTAATTCCAGTGTTCTTCATCTGCCTAAACCTGTTCTTCCGTGTGCTGAATATACACCAGCAAGGGGAGCATAGTGAGCACCCTCGCCTCCTTCTTGATTCTGTTGCAAGTGAAACAGTAGCCCCAGGAGCTGGGAGGATCAATTACCAGCAATGTCCTATTCAATTTAGGACCACCCTGGGCTCAAGGCTGGATCTAAAGGGGGTTTCCTGATGTTGTTGCACCTCTTTTAATTCTTGCTCTACCTAACATTTCAAGCCAACTGCCTGCCAGTGGCCTGAAGAAGGGCATTCGTGCCCAAAAGTTTGCAAAAACATTTTTTTCCAACTATTCAGTTGATCTAATAAAAGATACCATATTTACCCAAAAAACCTTGCCTGACTATGTCCTTAGACCAACACCAACACAACTACAACTAACAAACCTGGCAGTGGCAGCAGCATTGCTGTTTAGGCAGCAGTGAGAGCATCAGTTGAATCTATGGATCATTAAAATCTACCTGATTCTTTCTAAACTCTTCATTCACAGGTTTAGTGACCCTCTCTCCTTAAACAGGTCTTGATGTTCCATTAATCAAGCTAGCCTTTCTTCTGCAATGCTGCTGTCTGTTGGCTGCTCTTGGTAATAAAGATCCTATTTAATGGCCCTGCAGACTGCTTTTAGCTCATTCCAATGAAGTTATGGGGTTTTTTTGCTTCAAAGTTAAACTGAATAATACAGCTCTAGGCCCCTAGTGTATTCATAAAGTTTTCAGTTTCTTTTTACCTGGAGAAAAATAGGTACTGTGTAACATGAGATGAGGCACCAACTGTACCAGTTTTCCGAATCCTAGATCTGTCCTTGTTTGGGCTGGGATTTTCATAGATTTCATAGACATTAGGGCTAGAAGGGACCTCAGAAGATCATCGAGTCCAGTCCCCCACCCAAAGGGCAGGAAGTTAGCTGGGGTCATAGGATCCCAGCAAGATAAGCATCCAATTTGCTCTTGAAGGTGTTCAATGTAGGTGCTTGAACAACCTCCGATGGCAGGCATGTTCCAGATGTTGGGGGCTCGGACAGTAAAGAAATTGTTCTTTATGTCCAGCCTGAAACGGTCTTGTAGCAGTTTATGACCATTCGACCTCGGCATTCCCTGGGGCACTCTGATGAACAAATGTTCCCCCAGATCCTGGTGGTCACTCCTGATAAACTTATAGGTGGCCATCAGATCACCCCTGAGCCTGCGCTTTTCCAGGCTAAAGAGCCCCATGGCTCTCAGCCTGTCCTCGTAAGGTCTGCTTTCCTGACCCCTGATCATGTGCGTGGCTCTTCTCTGGATGCTCTCAAGCTTAGTATATGCTTAGTAGAGATGAAATTTTAGGGAATGTAGCTGGTAACCCCTCGCCACCCTCTCCTAAGTACATGAAAACTGTAATTATTCAGAGACTTCTTTCTTGAACAGGTTTTGGTGGATTTTCATGATTGTGGTGCATGGGGGCCAGAGGAAGCATCCAGCCAAATCTCAAATCCCTGAACCAAACCATGGGAATGTTAAAACCTTGCAAAAGAGGTGTAAGAATTTTTAACATGGCAAAACAATGTGTTTTCCTTAATATTATAGTTGCAAATAAGTGGATCATTTTAGCTCAAACCCTCAAAAAATATTCTGGCTTTGGTAGATACCCAGAATAGAAAATTTCTGCTGAGCTACAAGCAGTGGTTTACAACAGAAAACAGGGTCTTATGAAGGAATGTGTCAGACAACCTTAAGCATCCCATACTGTCCATAAGCCTGTTCTCGGATCTGTTGTACATGTGAACCTCTTCCACAGGAAGAGCTGTTATTTGCTGTGATTATTTTGTATAGCAAATATTCTACATAGTGGAAATAGTTATGCTGCTCTGGAAATGCATTTTGGCTGAAACTTGCTTAAGAGATGATGTTTTATCTGGGATTCTGTGACCTCTCCCTCCAGTGTCTCCTCCAAGAAAGCAACTGCTGTATATGGAAAGAATTGGAGAGAGTGTTAATAGGAGTAAAGAAATTCACAAGTAAAACATTTATATTTTATTGTTTTTTAATTGTCAGTCCAGTGGATGATTTTAAATATCCAAGGGAGGGGTCTTGCCCTGTTTCACAGTGTGACCTCCTTTTCATCACCCTACAGATATCTTTTGACTAGGTTCCCTCAGATAATTCCCAGAATTCTTTGTACTCTCATAGTATTTTAAACCTAGCACACTGGGAGTGAGTGTAATAGTTTTGGCATATGAGAAAAAGGACTCACAAATAATTGAATCAATTGACTTTACTGAAAGATTGGAGAGAGGGGCCCCCAGTTTCCTCTCTGCTTGTTCTACATCAGTATTACACAGTTTTCAGTGGATTCACTCCTAATCAACACCTTTGTAAGGGGTGAATCAGGTACTGAGAGTTGCCTTGCGCTCTATAATGCTCCCAGGTTTTGCTAATGACTTTCTTAAGTATTGTATGTAACAGCATGGGAACCATTCTTCAAAGAAATGTATTGGCTTCCAAAGAAAATAACTGTATAATTTTCTATTTCCAGGCTGAAAAAAATGGATTGCAGACTGTTCAAATTAAAGGGGTAAAGCATCCACAAGGTCAAAATCATCCATATCAGTATTGATAGGTGAAGGTTTTTCTGATGCTGGATTGAGGTTTTCAAATGGATGAGGTAAAAGATCCTCATTTGTAAATAATTTGGTCTTTTCAGAAGGATTTGTGAGTTGCATAATTGATTTCCATGGCTTTCCAGGGCACTTGGGAACAGGGGGTTCTGGGAGATCTGGAAGCTCATCAAATAAAGAAATATCAGGAGCAATTTCAGGGGTTCCAGGGCTAATAGGTTCCTCAGGGATATCAGGGGTAGAAGCGTCATTTCTTGGACCCACCATAACCCCAGGAGTAGTTAATGCATCTGACTGCATTAGACCAGGTGTAGTAGGAAACTGCACTACACCAGGTGTAGTAGGAAACTGTGAATTTTCTGATGTCCTGTCTATGCTTGGTGACTGGCTTTCCCTTTGGCAAGGGACCTTTTCCTCTGATTCTTCAGAGGACTTGTCTTTGGAGTCTTTATGTTTGTCCTTCTTCTGATGTTTTTTATGCCCTCGCCCAATACCATGTCCTCTTCCACGCCCCTTCCCATGCCCAGGTCTATGCTTAAACCGATGCCCATGTCCATGCCCATGCCCTACTCTACGGTCACACCCATCTCCTTGTCCATCCTCATTTTCTAGTCCTGGCCGAAGATCTTCTCTTGGCCCTTTGTCAGGGTCTGTTCCTTCTTCTGCAGTTTGTAAAGAGGGTGTCAGTGGATAAATTTCATGCAGCATAAGTGATCGGAACGGGGTAAAACCTGGAGGCCTTCTTGCTAGGATACTCTAAAAGGAAATGGAAGATATTTAGACAAAGAAATGACATTACTTTAATGATCAGCACATGGTATACTATTTGGAATGAAATTTTGCCATTCCATTTGAGGTTTCAGTGTAAAAGTTTAAACAAAAATGTTTAAAGAGCTGGTGGAGAGAGGGAGTTTCCTGGATTGCCTAAACTATTGCCATTAGTTTCAGATATTTTAAGAACCAGCTAACTATAACTGAGGTAAAAATGTGAGCCAGTTAACAAAAATGATTTATCAGGTCTTTTGGGCTAAGTTAGATAATCTTATCCATCTATGATCTGAATGGAAATAATATAACTATATAGAATCATTCTTCCAGGAATATTCCAAAAATTTTGGGAGATTATATGTAAAGGAATCAAACCATCTACCACTGACATTTAGCTGCTTTTAGCATGGAAAAGTTCAGTACAGATGAGAGCCAATGCTTTTTGTAAGTGTGTATATTAGTTCTCATTTGTGAACAATTTTGGAACTAAAGTGCTCTTGGCATAGTCATAAGATATATCATATCAAAGAGAAAAAACAATGTGCTAATTTATGTCCAAGGCTAGTTTTAATAGAGGCATGAAGCAAAAACCTGACTTATTTTATTTTGTGAAGCACTACTTAATGAATTTTTAGTTGCCAGATTGGAAATATATATGTTTTGAACCAGTGGGAAATAATAAACATTGGGTAATGTCTACACAAAAAACCCTTGTGTTTAATAATAGGTGATCAACACAGAGCCTTGCTTCATACAGCAATACAGAACGCCCTTTATAAGAATGCCTTCTCATCTAATCAACAGAGACTGATTGCTCTTCCTCCATCAAATGTCTAACATGGTTTGGTTCCTGCTCATTAGAACACCTGAGCCTTATTTAGCCTCTGTTCGGGGAAACCTATGGTGAAAACATGTCTGACTTCTAATGGCAGGTGCAATATGGTCTGTAGCATAAACATGATCCAAGTGCTCATTTTCACCCAATACATGTGACCTGGATGTTATGAAGTTACTAAACCCAGTGAAAGTGTTGAAAACAGATTCATTCATTAAGGTCTGTTAGATTTTCTGTTTTGGACTGGGTACCAGTAAAGATCCTGGCCTCACAATTACAAAAAAAAATCAAAATGATTTGATATCCCTACTCTGAACCCAGATACAGGGGCTGGTAATGGTTGGATGGGGGAATCTGGAAACTGCTTCTTCAGACAAACAAGCTGTCTGCTTCCCTGCTAATAAACACAAATTAGAGACATTTTGGAAAGTTTTGAACATGTGGAGTATAATGTTGTCTCCCATTGTCAAACATAATCAGTAAAGAAGTCCAGTGGGGGTTGACAGTCCTTAGCACCTCATGAATTTGAGCTTGACAGTAAAAGCTAAGGACCAGGCATCATATCAGTAAAACAGTGTCTACATATTCTGCTGCTTTTTCTGTTCTTTCTCATGTAGCCCAGGATATCATACATGGCTTTAGTTCAGCCTATGTGTCACAAAGCCACCAGGGTCACAGGGTGAGGAAGGTTCATGACATTACTAATAGGACAACACATAGCATTTCCCTCCTATCACTTTAGAACAAATCAGACCTAATCTGAGAACTGGATGGATAGAGGAGGGCAAATATTTTTCCACAGCACAGGGCGTGTTTATATGTGTGCCCCACTGAGCATTTGTCACTGGGCAGTCATGTAGTACCCGTTGCTACTGTGATGTGGCATCTCATGTAGATGAGCCTCCCGCTCCCCTGCTACTTACTCTGCTGCAAGTAGGCTGAAATGAAAGAATTACTTTATTTAGGATTCATACCGGGATCACTTCACTGCAGTTAACCTGAGGGATGATTTTCTGCTTCCATGGCACCACATATATATTTGCTATGCATTGTAAACTTATCTGTGAGCAAAGCAAAAACGAAACATGAGGTTTTAAAACAACAAAGTATCACAAAGAAACAGAATTGTGTGTAACCTAACCATACAGCTTTTTAATGATACTTTTAAACACAATGATTAGAGAATGTATATGTACATCTATAAAATGTAGTTGTTGTAACTGTGGAGGTTCCTCTACTGGAAATCATCCCCAATTTAGTTTTACTTAGCTTTAGGAAGCTGGATGGTTTGCATGGATGTTACAATTTAACTCATAACAATTATTCTTAGCACTTTTAATTTCCAATTCTTTACAATATTATGTAGTTAATCCTCTCAACAGCTCTGAGAGGTAAGAAAGGACTGGTGATGTTATCCTTATGTAAAATGGGAAAATTGAGGTAGACAGGGATTAAGGCAAAAAGTTTTAAATGTGTCCATTGATATTGTGGAGCTGGCTTTGCAGCTCCTTGCAGCAGCATTTTTCAGTTGGAGAAATGAGCACTATGCAGCTTGGAAGGAAAGAGAAAGGAAATAAAACTTCCCTGCCCACCAGCCCCTCCTGCCTCCAGCACCATTTTCATCAATGCCTCCGTCCAGCAAATCCTCTCAGCGTCAAATGCATTCACTCCAGCACCAGCAGCCTATCTTTCCAGCCAGCCATGCTCTCCTTTGTGTCCAATCTATCAGGATCATACCCTCAGGAACACAATACTCTGGTATCTGGGCCCTCCCACACCCTGTCTGCCCCTTCCCACCTTCCAGTTGGATTCACAACTGGGGAAACGGCCCCAAAATGTCCCATCAACTTTGCAACATGTACAGAGACTGTGGCATGAGGATTGGCTGATATTTATTGAGTTGGTTGGCTAGCGGAAGAGGCAACTGAACCTAGAAACACAATTATGTTGCTTTACATAAGTGTACCATATACATCCTCTGGTGTTATTCTGTTTGGTGAATTAGGAAACAGGTGTTGGATGTGGTAGCCCATAGCATCCTAATTACTTACCTTAGGAATTACAACTTCACAGTCTTCATTTAGTTTCTCCACTTCTGACTTGGAGCAGTTTGTCTTCCCAATGAGAAATTCTATCTCATAATTTTTTCCAGCAACCACCTGAAAAATCAGTCAGAAGGTTTTCTTCCATAAATATGCCTTTTTTGGTAAGGGATTCACCAAACCAAAAAAACAGTGTTCTAAAAAGAAGCAACTGACCCGCAAGGTTGTAAGCATTAAAAATGTTGTACTCTACATACATTTCTGATTGACTCGTTTTTGTACTCTGTTCTACCTGCTAATATTATTACACTGTTGCAACTGGAAGAGAAAGAACATAAAGGCCAAAATGACATAAGGCCCATAAGTCTTGTTGTGTTTTCCTCGGTGCCTGCAGTAATTTCACTAATAACAAAGAAAATCATTAGAGACATCTCAGGGGAGATCCGAATATGATGTAAAGAGACCTTGATTTGGATAAAATGAGTCATTTTTAATCTGTCGGTGGAAAACAAATATAGCATCAGTAGAACTGCTTGCCAAAGACATTAAAGAGCTAAACTGTAATGATGAAGCAATGCACCTGGTACATGTTGCTGTTAGAGTATTACACAGTGGGCTCATCTACACGAGACTACATTGCCGTAGTGATGAACTACGCTGACATAGCTCGTCGTTATGGTGACGTAGCGTTGGCAGGCGCTAACCGTGATGCCACCACTACTGCGCAGTAGCAACAACCTACTGCATAGTAGCTCATTGCTACTGCGCAGTAGTGTCAAAAACGAGCCTGCGCCCCCCAGGCTGCCCTATACCAAGTACAGTCAGGGGCACGTGTAGATGTGCCTAGTATTTCTTATGGCAGTAAAAAGGGTACTAAGTAAAGATGTAGAGAAAACAAGAGGCAGGGTGAAATTCTGGCTTTAGTGAAGACAATGGGATCTTCTTTTCATTTCTCTAGTTTCAGGTTGTCAACCATGATACGTTTCTTGAAAGCATTTATATAATTGTAGTCATAGCTTGAAAAGGGACTATGCAGACAGTAGGAACAGGACAGAAGAAAGAAGCACAGGGAAGAGCAGCAAGATAATTTGATTTACTATGTAGGGTGGACAAAAACACTTCCTCCCTGCTGCCCCTCATGACTGTGAAGAGCTCCTGATACACATTTGGAAAGCTACCTTCTCCTCCTCCTTTGAATCCCTTTTCTGTACTGCCTACAGAAATCTTGGTAATAGTTAACTGGTGATCATGCTACCTGCAATTGTGTCATTGTTTCTTCATGCTTCCCTAATTGCTCTCTGGTGTCTCTGACCTTGTATTTAGACCATAAATGCTTTGGGGTTGGTAGTGTATTTTTCACTGTATTTATACAGTGCCAAAGACAATTGCTGCTGCTGTTTACCCACCTCTGTTAGCTGGCTAGCTTTGTTGTGGGCTTCACAGAAGAAGTGGGCTCTGGATATTAATCCAACACCCACCAAAGTCAATGAAAACCCTTCTGTGAATTTAGTGACAGTTGGACCACACCAATGAGGAGGGATGTCAGTAGGAAGATACAGAGGGCAGCCCAGGAATGGTGGCTTACAGGCATGGGGCAACATAAAAGAAGGCATGTTGCAGAAAGGCAAATAAGCAGGATGTTGTAGCTGTGTTGCAGAGCTCTCAGGTGCCCTGCGACTGAGAGCAGAAACGG